TGTGTATATAGGTAAATGACATTAAGTCTCTCTCTCTCTCTCTCTCTCTCTCTCTCTCTCTCTCTCTCTCTCTCTCTCTCTTTTTTAGGGGCTATTAGTACATGTAACAGTTTTGAAAGAAAATAAAGAAATTATTCATTTCTGCAATCATGACACAACGATTTATTTTAAGCCCACTTAAGGATAGAAATAACTTTTTTCTTGAGAATAATTTGCTTGGCTTATCCAGTATGGGAGATTCACTCAGAGAGAACGCTTCATATGCCATCTCAAAAGATCAAAACACACTTTTGAAAAATAGTTAGCTCCTCTTAAAAACACCGTATCTTGTAAGAACATATTTATTCATGGAAATGGAGAAGCTCTGCCAAAGATATTATTCAAATGAAAACATGGTTTTAGAATTGTATAAATATATGCCACATCCATTATATCAATTAATGCAAATGCTTAAAAATTCAGAGTTAATCTGTTAGCAAGAACAAATGCAAATATAAAGAGTATTCAATCCTCAGGACTTTACGCTGCTGTGCTAGTTTATTAGCAGTTTATTTTTTCCTCTAAATTAATTTAAAGAAATATGTTCTTTAATATTCTTGTGTTTCCTATAATTCATCTGGTTATTAAAATAAAACTTGAATTAATTTCTTGTCCTGCACCATTTTATATGTTCTGAAGAAATATGGCAAACCTACTATATATACTGTAACCTACCCTTGCAAATGGTCTAACTTAGTTATTAAATGACCACTACCATTACAGACTATATCTGATTTCTTAAAATCTAAATACTATTTAAATTACTAACCTCATTTAGTACTATAGCTCCCCCACTCATGAGACTTTCATTTAGCAGTCATATCAATCCACCAGGCATAGCAAATCAGTCTCCTTTAAATAAATGTTGAAATGCAGAAATTTCTACTGACACATACATACACACAATATATATTTTGCACATACTCCTTCATTTGCATCTCTCCCTCCCTCTCTCTGTGTTATACATGAAATATGTTCACAACCAGTAAACACTTATAATTACTTGAATGTAGGTTCCCACTTCTTTCAATAGACCTTTATTCAAAAATGTGTTCATTAATTTACGTAATTCTTACCCTTTCACTAACAGCTTGATATTTGCTAGCCAACTCATCCTTCTCTGCACGAGTGTGTGCCAACAGGTCCTCAAGGCGAGAAAGTTCCTTCTGCAATAAGTAGTTTTCTTCTTGCATATTGGTTGGAATGTCTGTTTTTGATAAACCTGGAAACATTAATCAATAGATTATGGCAAGTCAATCAACTAGTGGCTTGAAATCAATGCAATATTGTTATTTTAGCTGGAGGTTTGGCTTCATGCATGTACCCAGATACCACATACTCTTGTTTTTAGGAAGCAGGAACACGGATAATTCTCTTAGCAGTGTAATTTCAACAATAAATAGATTAGAACACCGGTGCTTAACATCAAAAAGAATAAGTTGGCATTTTGAATTTAGCTAATATTTGACATAAATAGAGATGGATGATAAATCTGTTGTATCAGAACTTGTGTCAGGCCTGCAGCGGTTCCTTTAAGAATCTTTGGCCTGCCACACTCTCATTAAGGGAGGGATTTAGCAAGGGGTAGAATGTGTT